CTATATTGTTGCGCAACAATATTGAAAATCATTGTAAATGTTTTAAATATCTGATTTATGGTGTTTTGGTAATGTTAATGTTTAAAGTTCTCATAATATTAAGTAATATTATGTCATATATTGTTTCATTAAATCAATAATAAAGTGTAGAGTTTTGAGGATTTTCTAAAATAAAAGTTAACATTCACAATGGAAAGTGCTATAACCTTTAGTCAACAAGTACTTTTAGTAAACAAAGAAAGCACGTCTGTGTGCACGTGTGAGTGAGTTGGCACGTATGGCCTCACGTCTCGTTCGTATATAAAACTTCTAAATGCAGCACATATGGCATTTAATCATTTCATTATCGGTAAAGAGCGACGAGGTGATTGATGGAGAACAGTAAACGTAATTATAGTGTAAGGATTGAATGTTTCCTATGTAAAATACTTGTGGCAGACTATGTTTAGTAAACTAATCGTGAGAGGCGTAAACGTGATGAATGACTGGAATGGCGGAGAAGGAAAGAAAACATATATACACATATACATATACACATATACACATATAATCGAGAATGATGAAGCGAATCAAGGCGAAAAGTTAGAAACGTTCGCTTTATAAGGTTTCAAATGAATGTAACTTCGTGTTGCTAGTAGATCGATTCGCAATTGAGAGTAGAAAGTTGCGTAGGATTTCATAGTTTATAGTACAACTAATTACACGAGCAATTACTAATTACACAAAGCAAATAATTAAAAGTAAATAATATCGGCGAAGCGAATAATTAAAAGTAAATAATATCGGCAAAGCGAATAATTAAAAGTAAATGATATCGGCGAAGCGAATGTTACCGCTTTGCCATTTTCATATCGAGCGCGACATGCGTATTTCGTACGACAATAAGTAACGATTTCAATATAAACAGATATAAACGTTCATTACGATAATTACCACGTGTTTCACATTCGTTTTGAAATAATCATATTACGTTATCGCGCACGTCGGACGACAGAGCGGGACTTGTAAGCTCACGTTTGAGTGTTGCCGTCACGTTCGTGGATGAAATAAAAAATACGCAACGTTAAGAAGCAATTCGACGATTTTGTATGAAATTTACGCTTTGCGAACACGTGCAGCTTCGAGTGTTGTTACTAAAGCGTGGGAGAAGGAAGAGACGAGTAAATTCATCGTACGTGTGTAATGCCGGCAAACAATATTCTAGCACGATGGTATTGTGTTCTCGACGTTTGAATACGATATCGCTGAACGTGAGAGATCGGAAAATTCTGCCGTTAAAGGATTAAACATTTCTGACTCCGTGTAACAGTATGTTACATAAGAAACGTAGACGGGGAAGCGGTCTTTTTTTATTTCTTTTTCTTTTTAATGGGTAGTCACGTTAGCGCATGATACTATGTGATTAAAGCGTACGTATTCTATATTTATGCGGCTTTTTGCGTTTTCCCGAGTTGTGCTCGCAGCCGTTTCGATTAATCGCACGAACGACAGGGCGGGGTACAGCAGCAGATATACGAAACTCGATTCCACTCGAATACAGTTTATTTGCATAAACGTAAAATAACGAACAAACCAGCCAGGAGCGGGTGGGAGGGGGTGGCTTGTCGGAGCTGCAAACGAAAGTACCAGTCACGTTTCCAATAATGCGATCGAAGACGGCCACGAGTACGTACGATGTCATCTGATCGCCGATAACACGTCGTAACATAAATCACGAATGTACACACACGGCGTTACGCACTGAGGGAATGTCTAGTATTTGTAACTATAATTATATAGAGAAATAATTACTATAAATTATGGTCAAGATAACCATTTTTTAGTCAATTAATTGCACTATAATTTTAGTGGTAATAACTTTATATGCATGTTACTATTATCTTCGTGTTGGAACAACCAAAAAATATAGTTGTACCAAATTGGGTCCAATTATATTTTTATATAAGGTTATATTGCATATAAGGTTATTATCACTAAAATTATAGTGCAATTAACAAAAATGGTTGTCTTGACCATAATTTATAGTAATTATTTTTCTATATGACTATAGTTACAAATACCAAACATTTCTTTCTCAGTGTGGATGCCTGAACACGGATCGAGAGAATTATACATTGAAAAAATTATTCTTGTATTTGCAACTAAAATATTTGTTACGTACGATTTGATTGACATTTCGGTGCTCTTAATTGTGTCAAGTATGTGTTATTGAGAAAGCAAAACATACACGGCGGCAATGTGAAATTTTTTGGTTGCAGTTACTAAATATTCGGTTGATCCCATTTTAATCGAACTTTGATTCAGTCTTCCAAAGTTTCGTTTCGACAACAAAATCTTTTTTTCGGTGTACGATTCTCAGCCCACAAAACGCTCGAGATTGAAAATCGCTCATCTAGTTATAAGGACTTCTTTTTATTATAATGATTTTAATCTTATTCGTGTGTATTGATTGAAAGCCGCGTAACTTTCAATTTTAGAATATATTCTGCGGACATCCACGACGCCATACGTTTGCGATTTCTCAACTGACAGTTACGCTAATGTCACAAATAAGCCGAATGCGATTGGTCTGTCAGCGCGCCGAAATGAAATGGGACGCGCAATCGTATAAAGACCGGGGCTAGTTTGCTAGCATGGTAAGTTGGCAAAATCGATTATTTTTATTGTTCTTTAACAGATTTTAGAATCAAGCAAGTAAGGAGAGATTTCAAAGTTATTTTTAAAAATCTTATTTGCTCAATTTAGTAACTTATTAGCGGAAATAATCGGCTTTGCCAACTTACCCCGATAGCCAACTAACTCCGATCTTCCCTTTAATCAGACAGATATGTTCTTCAGTCTTGTGTTGATAGAACAAAGGGATTAAAACAAGACAGAAACAGCGCGATTGATATTAATCTGAAATGGAATCTTGGAAATTCTCAAGTTTAGACGTCAGATTCTCGGCTATGTAAACAACGAATGTCATGGATCATCGATTATCGGCTTCACGATCGGTTGGAAAGTTGACTAGTCGTTGAGCAAAAATTTCGATCCCTTTTCCTTGTCTGTTTTTCCCGAAACAAGTATCGCGTGACTCGATCCGAGACGTAAGATTGCATTACAGATACAACTCTGTCATGAATTACGGATCGTCTAAAACGGAGTCGGTGTATACCCGTTATACAGCCAGCTGTATGGCCGACTGTGTTCCCCTTTTCTTTTTTTTTCGAAGGTGACCCGTATCTTTCGGTTCGATAGTTAATGTAACCGATTGCGGCAACCGCGGCGTTACCGCGCGCGATCTCGCGCGCTCTTTCTCGCCGCAGTTAACGACGGCGAATCGACGCTCCGCCAGTGTACCGCTCAACGTAAGAGAGAAAGCGCGGCGAACGCTCGGCGGCTCTCAGTAACGAGACTCGGTCGTTATAACGAAAGTAAATTTTGTCTAAGGTCTTCGGCACGCCGCGTCCGTTATCGGGAACGGACGATTGAGTCGTCGAGCACGTTGACGGTTGCAAAATGCACGCGGGAGAGGAACGGCCGCAATTGGACGATCTTGCGATTTACCCCGGTCAATAAATTACCTCTTAGGGACATTCTCCCCTCCGCCAGTTCAAATACCACAAATGGCAAAACGCGAAACAAAAACGAGAGAATTGCAAGGCGCGATTCACATAAACTCCGTGCCATATAATAATACTTATAACTAATAATAATTATTTTTCTTTCTCTCTCTCTCTTTCTTGTATATAATGATATTAATTATAAGAAATGTCTCAAAGAAATTACCTCCGCATGTGAAAGAGGAGAAGAGCGCAAGGATAAGGCGCTCTTGGGAATATTAATTTCCCGAGACTATATTGTTTTCACTCGTTCCAAGGACGCACCGCGTTCCGTAATCTATGTTATCTGACACCGATTTGTGTTAAACATTATTAATTTTTAATCTGAAAAATGTTATGAGTGGACTATGAACATATATGTACGTTTGACAAGTTTCTTCGGCTTATACCCTCGAATAGTTATCAACTAGGAGTTGTGATAGGCATTTATATTCTCTTAAATATTGATAGAGGCAGTAATTGATAAGATTTGATTTCTAATTAGTCCATTATCTTTGATTTTTCAAAAAGTTATTTCTTTCACTGATTGACCCACGATAATTCGAAGTCCTGAGTGATCCTTGATTCAGCTCTGTGAAGTATTGCTGCACTTAATCCAATATAGCACACATAATAACATACATAAAAAAATTGTTGCGAGGACACATGAAGTTTTAACAGTTCTCTCATGTTGGAATATATTTCAGAATTGGCCCTGTCAAAAAGTAGTAGAACGAAAATATCGAGAATATTAATAAAAGTATACAACATATTGTTGATCTCTCATTTATGAAGCAACAATAATAAATTTATCTCCGACTGATTTACTACGAGATACAAGTTCAGGGAATGTACCTCATATTTCAATGTGATTAATCCGAGTCGCCGAGTTTATGGATAATGGGAGGAGTGCGAATAAATTGATTCAGGGGTTTCGAAATTTTGAGAGAAGCGTATTCAATTAAGAAGAGGAAACGAGAGGTAGATATGTATGCGTGTGTGTGTATATGAGAGAGAGAGAGAGAGAGAGAGAGAGAGAGAGAGGAAGAGAGAGAGAAAGAGGGGAAGAGAGAGTAATAAAACGGAATAAAAATATGAATGGATAGTTGAGGAATGTCCGCAAGAAAAAACGAATTGCTAAACGAGAGTCAATAGCCACTAAACACTACTGAAAAAATTATATGGGTTTTTTCGGCTAAACGTTCCTCGTATTTGGGTCTCATTCCATCTCTGTCTATCTGTTTCTCTCTCTCTCTCTCTCTCTCTCTCTCTCTCACTCACTCACTCACAATCGATCGTAGGCGCGTCGCTTAACCTCAAAGTACACGCGTACACGCCGGTACACGCCGCATGCACGTTTCTGAATCACGCGACTTTGTACGGACACAAAGCTACGTACTATACGGTTACACCCACCTGCTCCACGTTCCTCTTTTGTCCTTCACGACGTGGCACTCCGACTCCTTCGTTCGTCTGCGTGAAATTCCGCCCGCTGTCCTCAGCGAGGATCGTCCTTCTGCGAGCACCACGCTTCCTCTTCCGGTAGTCCGACGAGTCGTTAATCTCTCGCGGCACGTTTCGCCGCCGATCGGATTTTTGTCGCTCTGCTCTCCCAGTGTCACCTGCCGTGGTACATAAACGCGCGGCACTCGAGCACGCACCTTCCAAGTGAGAAACGCGAAGACAGCCCCGGCGGCGCCTCTTCTTCCGTGATCGTCGGTTACTTCCCTTTGGCGGCGGCGGCGGCGGCGGCGACAACGACGACGACGACGACGACGACGAAGACGACGGTCCTTTCTCGCGGTAGCGAGATGAAGTACGCCGCGAGCCAATCTGCGAGTGGGTTATTTATCGAAACCGACGGGCGCGCGCTCGTCGCTTCTTCTCGCCACCGTCCACGGTACGGTAAACTCGAATAACGACCGTTCGCCGTTGGCCTCAAGTTTTCTTCACGTCGGGCACGCGTCGTCTTCCTCCTCTCCGTCGCTTCGGAGCGGACACGTTAAAGGGGGAGGCGAAGCGGAAGAAGAGGGACAGAGACGGAGGAGAAAGACGGGAGAGAGGTAGACTGGCGCTAAGCTCACACACGCGGTCACGCTCCAACGACGGTCCCCGCCTCTTATCACCGACGCTGCCGTCCGCTGCCGCCCGTCCACTGCCGCCGACCAAGTTTCTCGCTCGCTCGTACTTGTCTAACAGTCGAACGTCCCCGAACTTACCCCGATCGCGTCCGAGCCCGCGTCCTACTACTGGAGCCGCCACTACCGCCGCCACCGACACCGCCACCGCGCCGGTCTCGCTCTCCTACGTCTCTGTCTATCGCTCCCCTCGGAACCTAGCGCGCTCCCATCCGCTCGTTTACATCCTCTATGTTCGCTCCCCCGTGTATCCCCGCGCGAGCACTTCCGCGCCGGCTCGTCCTTCGTGCGATTATGGGCGGGATGAGCGGTTTTTTTTTTCCTAAGAGCGATGCACAATGCTGTTACACTTCGCCGTGTATATTCGAAGCGATGTCGGCCCGCCGAATAGGATGCTCCTTTATTTAAGTAATGATCCTTGAAAACTGCGGCAAAGATATTGGCGATGACAGTGATGACAAAATGACGAGCTAACGAGGGAGACGACGACGACGACAACTACCGATGAAAAGGGCGCGGCGGTGCCGACGGTCGCGACAAGACGAGCGATGTCGTGAAGCACGTCGCAGAGCAGGCGCCATCCCACGGCGCAAGTTGTAATTCTTAGACGCGTATTTGTATTTCGAGCGGAATGGCGACGCGAAGTGTTATTCGAAATATTTAAGTAGTGATAAACGCTAATTAGACTCATCTCGAGCCTTTCTCAACGGAAAGATCCGAGATTGCCAGAAGATTGTCGGATAATCGAACATATTATTCAGGATATCCGTAAGATGACGAAGTAAACGGAACTCGGTCGAGTTCGATCGTAAGATTCTCAATGGACGTTAGATACCTGAAAGTCCCAGGTATTTATTCATGCCTTTACCACTGATATCTTTCATAATAATATAAAATAGATGCGGAAGATCACACACACATACAATACACACACATACAATACACATAGTATATTTCGATATGTTTTTAAACGTAGTGAAACTATTTCTCCTCACTCTCTTTCCTTTGTTCGTTTAGTTATTACAAATATTCCCACAAAAACGTACGTCGAATTCACGTGGATTCCACGTGGATGTAACGTGCATGTTTTTGTGGGGATGCGTATTTATAGAAATGTATTATGTTTTCCTCGCGTCGATCTGCCATGTTCCGTCGAGTATATCGAAATATGTAACCCATCTATCGAGAATTCAAAGTAACCAAGATATCGAAATTTTAATATTGACTAGATTTGAGGCTTTAATATTGACTATTTTTATATTCGAAAAATTGTGCAATTATAATTCTTTCTTCTTGTTAATTAGAAGACAAAAATATGTGAAAATATACGTATATAGCAATTATTAATTAATTATTAACAATACATGTACATGAAAAAAAGAAAGTTCACCGCTTGTATAAAAAGGTTAGGCTATACCCATACAGCACAAATCTTGAAAGAACATTCTAAAAAATATTCATACATTCTAAGAACGTCCAGAATATTCTCTGAAGATTGTGCTATTTGGATATGTATCGTTCTTTTAGGTTTTAGGTTTTTTGCGTTTTAGTTTTTTTACTTTATAAGTAAAAAGAATCAATAATATTAATAATATTATCAGTAATAATACTATTAATAACAGTGAATTTGCATTAGATATCGACGTTCGAGATTAATCGCATGATTAATCGTACAGAATCGCATTATATATCGACGTTTCTTCTACTAGCAAAATACGCAAGGTTGCGTCAAGCTCGCATGACTAAGAGAGAGAAGAAAGTCAGTAGAATTAAGTTGAATGAGAGTGATTCCGGCTATCTCGAAAAAAGGAGCGGAGCTGCGTAACAGTCTCCGCGATTATACAACCACGATGTATGCCAACTGTGTATTTATCGATGTTATAAGATGGCGGTCAGCGAAAGCGATCTCTTAGGCCGGCCTTTCTGCTAAATGATGCTAATCGCACGTTATCTCGATAGAATGTTGGGAGATATTGGGGGTTAGAAAACCATGTATGAAGGATCGTAGGATTTCAAAATAATCATACGGAAACGATTGAAGATTCGTCTTCCTTCGTAGTTAGTTTGTGTCGCAACTGCGTCACTCAAAAAGTCCTTTTTAATCCAGATAGAATTCAAAATATCACAGTTAAAATTTATCGCTATATGTTTTTCTATTTGTTTTTCGCTATATGTTTTTCTATTGTGTTTTCCATCTGTTACAAAATTTTCCGTAATACATAAGACTGGCATGCATTGGCGAGTGACTCTTGGTGGAAAACTGCACCACTAAGCGTAGCTGACTGCATTGTGTAATTCAATTTTTTGCCTAATTTTACGATTTATGTCTTCAGGATGCCAATTTGTTTTTCTCGCTTGAGTGGAGTTACGTACTGTTTTGATTCGTGTATAAAGCTTAACTATTTTGTTCTTTTTTTCTTTACTATTGAGAAGGATTTGAAACAGGATCGAAACGTTTGGTTTTTTATGTCTTTTATTTATAAATGATAAATATCTTTGATTATAACGGATAAATTGAAATATTTCTTTTAAGTCACTAAGGCCCGTATTAATTGCCGTTACTTGAAGCTTGTTTTACGTGGATATTTAGACTTGAATTTAGAGTGAGATGAGAGAATTTTTTCTCTGAATTATATAATACGTCACATTATATTTGTAACTGTGAGTCAGTTGAAACCCACGTCTAAATTCAAATCTGAATATTTCACCTGAGACAAGTTTTGTGTTTGACCTTTTCGTGAACAGAAGTATCAATTGAAGACGGTCTGTTTCAATTTTGGTTACAAAAAGAATACAAGAATAAAGTGTGAAATAGTAAAGAACAACTACTAACCTAACAAAAATATAGCAAAAATAAGGTGCCTATAATTTTTCATAATTTATTTCTATGTCATAAATATAAAATCTTTGATATATTTTAATTAAAAAATCTCACTGTAAAATAACGAGTATTCCGCAAAAAAGAAACTAGTAAAGGAAATATTCAATAAATGCATGCATGAATTTTCATTCCTGGATATTTTTGTGGATGTAAAAAATTAATAGGTAAACTGAGATTGAATAGACCATATAGCAAAAAGTTTTACTTCGTCAAAACCACTTATATTGTAGACAGGCCTATATTACTAATACCTGCTTATTTGACGATTATTAAAAGGAGTGAGAAACACGTTTATCACTAATATGTCCTTCAAAAAAGAAGGCAAAGAACTTTACATTAGATACTAATATCCATCATTTTAACGGGCACACCTAAGTTTTGACGACTCCCTCGAGAATTGAGGTTCTCACTGTACCGTATCTAACTAGACTGAGGAAAGCATTTGTACATTGTAAAAGTTTATATAAGTGACGCAATTCTAATGAAGTGGAGGAGATAGTTATTAAAATGTACCCGTCAAAAAGGCGGATAGTAGTAGTCTAGAGTTAATTAATTAATTTCGTTTTATATATAAATTTTACTGCAAGACCATTTCGTTGAGTGTTCGTAATTAACGAGATCATAGGACTACGTACGAGATTATTTACGGAAAATTGTATTTACGATGTGAGGCGACGTACTCCGAATGTTCGCTTGCTACGAAAATTAACATGAACGACGTACATGTTGTTTTCTGTCGAAGATAGACCACGAGTCAAAGAATGACGGCATGATGATGCAAATAATATACATACACTCTTGGAAGTGTCAATATGTTTTGATGACGTTGTGAATAATGCAATTCTTGACTGTTCCGAGAAACGACTCTGCGCGAACGCCGTTATATCTTCCCTCGGTGTTAATTTTTCCGCGAAAGAGAATTGTTTGCTCGACGTACGGATTATCGAGGAATATGGAAGAAATATCGAGGAAAAAAGAACGAAAGATTACAAACGAAATTTTTGAAGATTTCTGTTTTATATACTAAGAGAAAAAAATATCTAAAATATAAAAATATTTATTCGGTAGACACTAATAAAATGAAATATTTACTTATATCTAAATTCTTTCATTTAAATAGAATAAACTATTGCTTCCATGAAAAGCGCTAAGATTTCAAGAAAATATATATTTTCTTATTTGAAAAAAATGATATTTTATATCAGTGTTGTGCGCTTGCACTTTTGCATGGGATTGATATCGATTAGGAATTCGATTATCGATAATTCTGATGTAGACGATTGCAGTCTGGACAGACCATACGTTTTCCTCGTGACGATAAGTAAACAGAGAGTGACGGTTAAGTTGCAGACGGGCTACCGAGTCGACTGTATATCTGATTTTTGAATTGCAGAGAATGTGAGCGATTACGAAATTTTTATAGTAAATTGTAAATAGAATTAAATGGTGTAATTTTACGTGCTTATTTATTCGTCGTTCGCGAGTAAACAACATTTTTTCTTTCTCTTTCTTTTTTCTATCCCCTTCTCCTGCTCATTTAGTCGTTACAACATAAAATATTATGTATCTTTAAAAACATTATGTTTCTTTTTGTTGCCGCCTGCCAGTGGCGTAGCCACAAAAAAGTTTCGGGGGAGGCTGTACTTTTTATTTTTGACGAGCAAAAAAGGTCATTCGAAAAAATTTTTCTTATACTTAGCGTAACCCAGAAAATTAATTTCGGGGGGGGGGGAGGCTGCAGCCCCTCAGCCCCCCTGTCGCCTGCCGTTGAAAATGTTGCAATTCGTATGTGTAAATGGTGTAATGGCGTAATTCGCCTGTCGAGAATTCAAAGTAACTAAGCTGTCGTCATTTTAATTTATCATTTAACATTTAATTAATAATTAAAATAAATGGTTCTGGCAAATGATTTGGAAGGCAAAGATACGTAAAGATCTAACCAGGCAGAGTTAAATAATAAACACAATATAGCATGAAGAAAGGAAATAACATGTGACTTGCATATAAAGATTAGGCTATATGCGTTGTTCTTTTTATTCTTATCGTATATGATGATTGCGTACTCAAATGTACTTATCCGTGTTCGCGCGCTTGGGCGACGAATAAATAACTACGTATATCATGTAAAATTACTTAAACCGTTCAATTCTACTAACTGACCGTATAAATATCGCAGTCACTCGCTCTTCAAAAGTGTCAAACGTCCAGTTAGCCCGTCTATAACTCAATTGTCACTCTCTGTTTACTCGTTGTCACGGGGAAGGTGCATTTGGTCTGTCTAGACTGCAATCGTCTATACCGGGATAGTAATCGATGTCGATCCCGTGCGAAAACGTAACACTATAAGTAAATACGTTGCCAATACAATGCTGTTGAGTAAATATTGTTTCATTTCTCCACTTCTCTCAATGTAGAACATATCCAGTAATATATCTATCATTTTTCATGGTGCTTGCTCACAAAATATTCGCATATTTAATTGTTAATTAACCATGTACTTTTTTGGATATCTAATGATCTTTCTTGTACACCCGAAAACATAGCGTTCGTTCGACCTTGTGTTCCTTGAAATGACGCGCAAATGATATTTGCGCAAAGCCACTCAGACGATACGCGGTGCATTCATTATCCCTCGCGTTCTTACGAGCATTCGCCAAAGTGGTTCAGTCTCCAACTGCAGAAACCTGCAATCGTGTCAACGGTTGCGCGCTCATACATTCACTTTGTGCCTCTCAGTGACATGACATTGCACGGACGTTACTTGATTGCGGTTTGCATTAGCTCTTGGCATAGTGGCACTGATTCTTTCTACTTTTCTTTTTTTTCTAACATTTATCTATCCGCTCTAGGTAAATCGTCCCATATACTAGTTTCCCGCGGAAGGCAGAATCTCATGCGCGGAAAGTCAAGCGGCTTTTCATCACGATTGGCGAGCCGAGCCAATTACCCGGCAAATCGAAAGCGTTTCGTTTTGTGGAAATGAGTGCAACGTATATTTGTCGAAAATTCATCAGAAATAGTTTCTCATTGATAATTGAAAAATAATTATTTCTTTTTTCATATAACCGTGTAAATAGTTTAAACTTGCTGAATGCAAATTTTTACATGTACGATCGCGGTGTAAAGTACCTCTTATTTCATAAAAGCACGTGTCTCGTTTTTTATAATGGCATTTACATCTTTTTTTCAATGTTGACTTGTAAATGATGTTACCTAAGTAAATGTTTGAAAAAATATGTGCACGTGTGATTCTAAGAAGAAGAATAACACCTTTGAGTCTTTCTCTCTCTCTTGAATATTTATTCATATGTATGTATTCACTACGTATAAAGCGGACATGATGGTAATAATAAGATGAAGACAAATAATCCACTAAATACCCGTTAAAGCAGTTTATATATGTTATCTCTTCAAAACTTTATGATTGTATATTTAGTTTATATGCTGATTATTCTTTCTATAAGTTTCTTAGTTAACCCTTTGCTGACAACGTTGGGGTCGGATCCGACCCCAAACATACGTTACTGGATATGTTCCGCAACTTTACATTGTCAGCAGAGGATTAAAACCTATCCTTAAAGCTTTTTAAATACTGTCGAAAATAATGGCACTCAATCATACGTGTCTCTCTTTAATTTTCTTATGCAAAAATCAAAAGTGTACGCGAAAGAAACAGTATTCAATATTGAATCTGGTTGGCACAACTAGATTTATGTGTGGACTAACCATGTTTTTCTGTGTACACGCGTGTAAAGAGCTTAGGAAAACCTAATTAAAGACAAATTACAGACAAAGTAAGAAACTATTTCATTATTTAGCTTAAAAATACGAATGGAAAACATTGTTCCCGGGTTATATGAGCGAATATGTGGTTTGCGCTCATTGAAATCTGTGGTGTAAATGCTGTCCTTGTATAATTTTCCACTGTTGCTGTCCCGGCGAGTTTGTCATTATACAAGCTTCAGCACCTTAGCTGACGTAGCTCTTTTAGTGATTATTTTCTTGGTTAAAGTCAGTTTTATCCTGTCAACGTCTATGTAAATCCATTCTGCAACCCGTAAGAACTTGTGACATAAGATACGTTTATTTTTGTTCTTACTCGTAATACGCGGATGTTCAGATTTTTTACAAAAAGGACGTTAAATCTACTTCTAATCGATAACCGTGTTACTGGATCGCGCATTTCCTTTTAGCCGCGTGTCCAACTGGATGATCCATTTATTTCGTCACCGTTATACAATAAAGTGCATCGTGAAATATAAGAACTTGATCCATAAGGGAGACACGTATTGACGAGTTATTCTCACATATATCGTAACCGATTGCACACAAGCTCGGTATTCGGTGGCTCCTTTATGTCGCATGGCGCAGCTCGAGAGACTTTCACCGCTCTCGTGTACTTTCACCATTGAGAGAATTACCCACTCTTCCCTCCCCCATTACCTCTATTTCACTTGTTCTTAGACGAGACGCATAATTAAGCTGTCTGTATTTTGGAAAAATGAAAATCTATTGGTTCGCTGCCAAAATTTTATCACTGTTATCTGTCACTATCTATGTACTAACGATTCCCAATGAGTTTCTGAACTTGTCCAACGAGTTTCCGGAATTCAGTGATCTCTTTTTTTTCTTTTTTTTCGTTAATCGTTTGCCATTCTCACTGCACATCTTTTCCGCGTTAACTTTTTCCTCAATTTTGCCTTAAGAAGAACATCAAGCGAATAATAATAATACTTGGATATTTAGAGGATCTCTCTATATATTCGTGTTTTTACAATTTTTTTATCTTCTAACTTTTTCCTCAATTTTGCCTTAAGAAAAACATCAAGCGAATAATAATAATACTTGGATATTTAGAGGATTTCTTTATATATTTGTGTTTTTACAATTTTTTTTACCTCGGCATGAGATAAAATCATGCTAGACCGTGCTATCGTAAAATAGTAAATGTTAAGGACAAAAATATAATTTATGACCTTAACTTTGACTTGAGGGACATTAATAAGTTTTTATAATGACTTGTAAAAACTAATGAGTGTCTTTTTTCTACATATGTTAATTTTATAATGCTAGATAAATAAATTTCTGAGATTTATATCATGTGATATTTTAATGATGCGTCTACCACCTCGATATTTTATCTTGTTAGTATCCTTATCTGTTAACAATCATGTTTCTTTCAAGTTTTCACCTACTAAGAGATCTACCATATCGATAGTATCAATCTGACCTACAGATGGTTGGATAGAAAATTCTGATCAAATACAACTGATAATCTTCGCATCGTAGATAAAATATCTGTTGAGCAGTTCTTATGCTACATGTTTAGGACATATAACAAAATTATCGTAAAATTATTATTAAAAATTTTTTATTTTTGTTTCAAAATTATTATTTTAGATATCACTTTTATTGAGAGAAATAAGCTCTAAGAGAGCCTTCTACTAGCTGCAAAAACGTTATTTTTTGTTTAAAAAAAATAATTACAGAAAAGTTTTAATAAAAGGGGTTTTAATAAAAGTTTTAAGAAAAGGGATAATAAAACAAAATAGTAGAAGTAATAGAAAATTTCTGAATATCATATTACATATCGTTAAAGTCAGTTTATCTCATTTAACAAAGCTCATTTGATTAAATAGGAAGTAAATAGGAGTAAATAGGAAGTTGTTTATAAAGTAGAATAAATTTCTTTGAAGGATAAGAGGTTATGCAGTTGCAGACAATGAAACTGTTTCTATAAGTACAAACTGTACAATTTAATTTTCATAAAATAATAATAAATATACTTATAAATATATTGCACATACGTAAAAATTCTTATTTTTAATTAACAAACAAATTTGTTTACTTTATAAATTGGCATCAATTAAATATTGGAATTTAAATAGTTAGCGATAAGATGTTGCGATCAAAAACTTAAAAAATATTTCTTATATTATAGAAAACGTAATCATGGTATATTCTATATAAAAAATAAATATTACGTTTCTGATCTTATTATTATTGCCAATACGATAAGCAATTTTGTTTAAATGTCTTATTATGAAACGCGGGGCAAGTTTTTGAAACATTGTTTTAATCATGTTTCATTTCATGAGGCATGATGGTTTTGATTAGTAAGTCTCACGATATAAAATTCTCTGTCAGATATCACTGTGATCTTTTCATAATAATCTGGAGAAATGTGTGAGGCATATGTTTTGAGATATAAGTCCTGTTTATATTTATATCCAAACATGTACACATATATGCACTCGAACACATCATACAGTAGAATTTTTTTAGGGGATTTAATTAGAAGATTGTCAGAAACGGTAAAAAGAGAAACAACCCTCACATTTGTTAACTAAGAAAATGAATCGAACAGTGAAACAATTTACCGAAGTTTTATCAGAGGATATTCCTTATCATTTTTTTTTTTGTTTAATCGAGGCCAGAAGTAGCTATCACAGATACTGATTACACGCTGAAAATTTTTTCGACATATAGAATATCAACGGGCACATAAATGAAATAGAATAACTCGCTCATTTAACCGACGAGAAAATTTGGAACGTTCTTTACGGAAAAGAAAATAATTCACAGAAGAATCGATGCACTTCGATTTGGCGCTCTAACTGACAAGAGTAACTTTTCGTTACTTCGGCAATCTTGTTACATAATTTATTTGAGCCGTCAACACTTATTCACTCTCTTTAAGTGAATCAGTATAGATGTTTCCGATTGAATCAGTAAACGAATTATTTCACCGATCAGTGAATATTTACTGATTTTCAACGAAAATACTCTCACTTTATTACTCTGCCTTATTTTTCACTAATTTGCATCAGTGGAAGTAAGATTTTACTACAAAAAATCTGCAATACATAAATTTGTTATACGTTATACCAAATTCATCTTTTTGCATTTGTGACGATAAAATCAACAGCTTCCATGCATCTTGCAATAACACTGTCTGTGTTCGCAAAATGTATCAGTAATGGAAACAGTCGCTACTACTAACTGTTCCTTTCAGCGAGATTTTACTGTTTGCAGTGTTATACTTATAACTGAACTATCAGTTATAAATATAGCATTTCAGTGAAGAATATACTGATTGCACTTTAGAGAGTATTCAGTCTGCTTTTTAGTCTTCGGGTACGTATATACACGCTTAGCACTCCGGTTCAGCGAATGCTCGCAAAAAGTTGCGATAGAATTCTCTGTTAATGTGCTAAACACCATCTCGAAGCATCGACACCGTTCGACTCAGACTTGTAAAATTTCATACAGAGAATGTTACTTAGCGCGTTCCTCTTCTTTCTTCTTCTCGTGTTTCTTTGGATACCTTCCGGATGTGCTCGCACTTTGACTTCGAATTCTTACTCGGTCGTGTTGTTAATGTAACGAATGCTACAACGTAACAGAACAATCCACGATAATTCGTTACCGAGTAGATGATCGATGAACAAATGAACGATAATGATTGAAGTTTCTTTGAACATCGGCTCGTCATTCGTCGAAGCCTCGGTTGTCGATGAACACGCGATTCCTGAGGCCGCTGTCCGAGATGTAGCCAGTGGCCATTTTGTACTGATTCGCGTAAATAACATTATTTTCGTTGGCGTTGTTAGCATCTTTGAAGTCGTCCCGTACGCTTTGCGCTTGTTGTTGTTGCTGTTGCTGCTTTTGTTTATCATCTTCGATGTTCTTCGATTTTTGCTTTTTCAACGCGATATTTAATTTCTTCTTTCTATACGATTCGATGTAGAAGTCGCGGAAGAGGAAATAGAACATTATGGCATGCATGCCAATCCACCAGACGAAGGCCTTCGGATAATTGCACTCGATAAAGAGTAGCTGAAACGCGTGAATCATCACGAGAACAAACTGAACCATTTGCAAGGTCGTCAGGTACTTTTTCCACCAGAGGAATGGCTGCAAGCGTGGTCCCAGCGCCGCCAAGAAATAATACGAATACATTATGATATGTACAAAGGTGTTCAAGAAACCGAAGAAAGTGCTGTGACCACCTGCAAGCAAAATAATCATCGATCTTATGGGAGACTGTACTGTCGAATTTTATTCACAATTTTGCGTCCAATATTAATAATATTTCCCAGAATGAGTCGAAACTTGGTGTTTAGGAAGCAGTGTCGAATATTAATTAATAGAAATTTTCTTTGACTTAAATTAACGATAAATCAATGTGACGATAAATCAAAATTAATCAATTGTCATATATGTAATTAGATATAATTTAATTGACTGGTGAAATTGATTATTAATCAAAATATAAAAACGATTCATTTCATCAATCGATGAAATTATTTGTGATTTTATATATAACATTTGATTTTATTATTGATTTGCCGATTGCTTTAGTTAAAGAAAATTTTCATCAATTGATCAATACCCGACACTGTCAGGGAGGAGTTGAGATCACGCATTTACTGCATTTACATTAGATCGAAGCCTTCAGCACGAATTGTAGCAATAAGCAATATTGTTGAACGGTATAATTGTTATTTTACGTTTTGTAAAAAACATCTGAGAGCCCTTACCGGGAGTAAATTTGACTCCGAACCAAACGGACATTGGCATGCAGCCATGATGAATGACGTGGAGAGTGGTAATGTGATCATTCTTTTTTCTCAGCACGAAAAAAATCGTGTCCGTGAACTCGACGAATTTAGAGATGTAATACCACCAACAACCCCTCGTCATACGCAACGCGAGCGAATTGTCCGAGTAATCGACTGGTTGACATCTGAAAGAGTAATTTCCTCCCCAGCCGCTAACTAAACTCTAGAAGAACAGAAAGAAAGATCAGTAATATTTGGGCAAATTTTTCTCGAATTAGTTACACTGAGAAAAAGAAGCAGTTGGCACTCACTCGCCTTATAAAGAAATATTGTATCCATTCAACAAATTACGCGTTTATGCGACAATAAGTTTTATATACATATAACTCATTACAGCAACTATATAATTCGTTTAATCGATTGAACGAATTTGTTTGAACGAATTTTGCTCGTTTAAACAAAAAATCTCATTGATTTAGCCACTTTTTCTTAGTGAATTTTTTGAGTATCTATCGGACAACTTACCTCTCTGAACAACCACGAGGAGAAAATCACTTGAAAAAGATTGTACCATAACATTATTCTTCTGAGGTCGAAGGGTTTTCGATTTTCCATCAGCTTCGGTCCCAGCACTTTAACGAAATAAGCGTAAAACAAGCAAATCGTTAGCGTGGGAAACGGACTGCTCATCAGAAACCAATCGTTGACTCTTGGGTCGCTTTTGTTGTCCATCAGGTCCCGGTAACCGTCGTAGATCGTTCGAACTAATTGCGCCATCTGAGAACAAAGTAGCATTTTCATCTCTTTATCGCGTTCTCTTCATTTTTTCAGTAGGATATAATTCGACACTGTCGCAATAGTCATATCTGATCCTATCTAGTCGTAACTAACGTCAGCTATTCAGAGGTCGAAAGTAAAAATAGTCATAGTCCAACGCTAATGATATTACGTAAAATGCTACGACCGATTGTTATAGATATTGTTCGGAACAAATGACTATGTTTATGTGACTTGAATAACGCGGCTGAAATATAAAATATAGTTTAAAGCTTGAATAACGCGGCTGAAGTATAGTTTAAAGTGCATGCGTAACGGTTGTTGCAAAATACGAATTAGGTCAAAATTGTAATCAAATTCGTTATAACGTGTTATCGTCGATCTCGTCATTAACGAGGAGGAAAACAGAGTGCTTATTATGTCGCAAGATTACATCGTAGATCGAATGTCAATGAACAGGTTCCGCTAAAGCCAATTCTCTTTTTCGTCTTTTCCGTCGATGTTGTAGATGAGGTTCTCCCGCTAACCTCGAAACTGATTACGCATACTACTGCCGACGCAACTCTTCCTTTTGGGTGACGGAGAGAGAAAGAGAGAAAGAAGTTTTCCATCTCGGAATACTGGCGCGTAGCAATGTGAGAGAAACAGGTGTTGCCTTGGCGGGGCCCCGACCGTCGATTGCGGGGCACGCGACTCCATCTCGATCCCGATCTGTCGGCGTGGCTGACGCGATCACTCGAAGATCTCCTCGGTAACGAAAGGTTAGGCCACTTGTCCTTTCACCGATTGAAGGAGATTGGGACCACTCCAACGCCCAAACGCTTCTTCACCGACGCAACACGAAGAAATGCGCCTCGGGACTTGTTGCTATCACGCTCAATCCACCACTCAATCTTTAGTCGTGCGCTATTCACCGCGTGTCACCAACAGCGAGGCGTTTTTTTGCGGCCTTGGGCATGTGAATAACATATTAAGATTGGAAACAATATCGCATTTTATAAACTTTCGCAATTCAACACGGTGTTCGCGAAGATAAATTGCGAGATACATGACCGTCCACATTTCCCGTGATTAAGGAATTATGATACATATGAATTTCAAAACAGTCAACGTCAAGTTCAAGTGCGTACTCTTCGTAAAAACAAGTCAAGGAGAGCTTGAAAAATCCCGGTAGATTCCACAAAATTATCAAGCGCAGCGACAAGTGCTGTATCATTTTCTTCTTGTTTGCTTATTTGAATATCTACCTTAAAACAATCGATGCTTTGGAATAATTAGTCACCTTGGAAATTACTTCACTTTATCTTCACATTGTAGTCGCAGTATTCTGTGAAAATTGCGACATCTTCGATATGCATAAATAAGTCAACATTTCAGTCTCGTCACTCTGCCAATTAGCTAAGTAAATACGGATATTCACGCAATAGCATGTAATGTAATTGTAATAAGTACTGATAGGCATTGAAACAAGTGTTGACTGAGTATACGTATTACTACTTATGTATACAAGTATTCACTTAATATAATATCTTTTACATGACGTATGTTTTAAACATAGCCATCCTTAACCCTTGATTCTTCGGGATACTTGTAATACATTTATTCTTGGCGGAAATGTTGAAACACGAATAGCATTTCCATAATGAGCGGATGAAGATCATGAGTTATTATTAATCGCAAGTTATACGTCGAAAGAAAATGAACATTATATATAGAATCGTTGTTTTTAATTAATTCTATAGTTCTAAGCGTCAACGAATGATGTAAAACATATGTAATTCTTATTCAGCACTTCTTTATTTGCTTGTAACTTCCGGAAAAATAATCGGGATACAATCTTGTTTGTTTCACAGTCGGTGTAAAAAACATCGAGGAATGTGGATCTATTAGTGGTTTTGCAATTCAATGAAGTTGAAAAAAAATTATAGTGTGAAAACATTTTAAAGACGGTAACGTTTGAAATGTCAGTCTAGGTAAATATTCATGTTTGGGGTTTTAGGGTTAATTGCAGATGGATTTTAGTTTTTGAGCTTCGCGTATCAAGACACACGTTATGTTGAGAATCGAAGAACCGACAGTAATGACAGTAAGAAATGCCCGATATAAAGTAAATTCTCTCGGAACATTTTTGTCACCGACAGAGATCAACTTCAAGTTCGTCGCATATGCAATGAGCGGATATGCATATGATTTGCCAAAGTGGAGGCCGACCTAACGATTCGGTACACCGAATACAGGCATTTACGGGGTGCAGTCGTTTTGGAACCGGTCAATCTAGTTCTGCCATCGATTCAATTGGACTCGATTCGCCGCATTTGGCTGTCCTGGAACCGCCGTCGGCCGCTAAGTACTGCCCTTTTTCGCGACGGCAATTCCGCGACACTCAGCTTCCGTTTCCGGAAGCAGCGGATCACGGTCTTTGCAAAAACTCGCCGGACAAATTGGAACAACACCCGAGATTTCGTGGCTCCGCAATATCCCGGCACGGGGATTTCCGCGAAACCCGGCGTGTTTAACGAAAAACGCGCGGCTGTGGCTCGAGCCCGTGGATTTCGCAACGCCCTATTCACAGCAGAAAGGAAAAGTGGCCTCACCAAAGGCTGCGAGCGACTAAGAACGAGTTCTCGCCGAGGAAAAATGCGGTCTCCACCGACCGATCGTAGTCATACGATCTCGTCTTGCAATCCCGTTTGCTCCTCCGCTCCGCATCACGCTCGTAGACACTAATAGTCCCGTCGTGTCGTCCCGGCCAACATGGTGTTAGCCGCGACCACTGCGATTAATGCCGAACGTGTTTATCCTTTTCTCTTTCTTTTTTTTCCACGGATGTGCAACATCCGTTTGTAGGTGTTGATATACGATCGGTGTCACGGCCGAGGGAGTTATTTTTATATTTTCGTATATTGCACGTTGTGCAATGAGTGTCTATATTTTTTGTTATAAAAACAGGAAGGATTTTTATTTTTATATACACGCACTCGCATGTGTCTATGTATTGTATGTTATTTCAGTCTATCAGTATACTCGTTTTATGCCGCAAGCGAAGCATTCGCGTATACGTGACGCTCATTTGGATCGATCGTAGATGCGGATGAGCCTTCATCACGGAACTTATCATGTGTGTCTCAGCATTGCATTATTGAGGAAATATATGAAGCGTAGCTATGTTTTATAGGAGTCATACGCTATAAAATCTGGGATAATAATTGGCTCGCGATACAAAATGATATTCTTATAGCTGCAATCTTACTTTCTTCGGCGGCAAGTGTAACACCAGAAAAGTTCCTTAATTATAGGTTGCACTTACATAATATAAGTGATCGTTGGATGTGCAAGAAATGGTACCGTTGCCACCGTTAGCTCGCTTGTTCGAAAATGCTTGCGGGATTCGCAAAACATCTCGGAATGGTTTCTCGAGATCGGCGGTCCGGTGTTATAGCTAATTTCTCGACCAATTATTCGGAACCGTTTGCTCGAATAATTTTTGTCTCGTTGCCATTGGAGATGTAATACAATTTGTCAGCACGCTTCGCGGAATACGATCGTAAATCAGGGCGCGACAATAAAACTATAACTACCGACGTACGTAATTTCTGCGACATCATCGGCGTGCGGCCGTGTATCTTTTTTATATACATGTAATAGGTATTTTCTTTTTTATTTATTAGTGGAATTTACCTTTGTTTGTGCGTGATCGCTTCTTGCACATGGTTCTTGTAAAATGTAAGTTTTTTTTCTGTTTTCCTTGAATAAGAGATAATCCGTCGTTTCTAATCTTCTTGGTAATGCCGACTAATGCAAAAAATATAGTTTGCAGATTTGCAATGTAAAGAATAAGGCCTGCACGCTTGTTCATCGCTCGCGCCGCGACGCAATTCAAACCGCTGCACTCTCTCGAGAGACGATGACTCGACCGTGTTTTAAGTGCCATTTGCTTGGCAAGTCAGGTGCATCCTCCTGCATTTAACTTGTAACGAAAGTAAACTGCGACGAATTTATCGTTAAGGTATACGCCCTCGATAATGTCGCGATTGCATGCGTGCGTGCGTGCGTGCGTGCATGCGATGTGTATTGGTACACCCATCGTAATTTTCTTTTTCATTTACGTGATGTTTCTTACGCCCTGAAGGAATTCGTTCGAGTTCAAGAAGCGAAGCAAAATACTCTCTTACTCTTTGGAATGTTGAAAGGAAACTCTCGGAAAAGTTCACGAGCGACTCTTGAGTCGCGTTTGAAGATATTTAAAAGTGCGATCTCCTCTAAGACACTACGTTCCTACCTTAGTATACCTTTGATTACGATTGGAATTTGAAATTACGGAGCGCCGGTGGAAACAACCGATTAGTTAGAGTATAAAAATTTTATTCATTATTCAAGCAGCTCATTTATAAGAGTGGTAGTTACTGATAATGCGTTATGCATCGTATGAAGAAACGGAAAGTTTATCTTTCCGGAGACAAATGATTTATTGATTATTAATCGAACATACTCGTTCATTGATCACATTCGATCATTATCGAGGTAAATTTGTTTCAACGTTAAAAGTTATACTGACATCTGAGTCATTAGACGTGTAATTGAGTTTTCAAATTTATTTTTCGCAGTAGCAATAAGAATATTCTATTCTTGATAACAGCATCGCCGACCACTAATTGGGACCACATAACAAGTTTGACTAGTGACGTGTACTTTTGTCCAAATATAAAAAAAGAATCAAACTTTATGACTTTTTAACATTATAAAACTTTTTGTGAAGTAACGAAATCTACGCGCAGTTATTAATATACTTAATAAATGCTTAGAAATTTATACTCGACTTTTATCATTTTTTAATTTGGCAGATAACGATAACAAGTAAGACTGTTCTTTCGCTTCGATGTTCAAGAGATAAATACGATTTCAATAAAAAAAAAATTCATTTGTAACAATGATAGTATTTGTTTATATTTGTTTATGTTGATGATATAGATCGCCATAATAGCCTTAACACATGATGTAATAGCATTCTATAGTACGGATGTGTTAAGGAATATTCTAGGATAATATAACTTTGTGCGTTGATTAAGTCGAACTGTTTATTAATTACGCAACTGTCAGAACTTGTTATTGATTTTGTTCATTATCAACTTCATAACTTTTGCTGTGTTTAAAATAACTCTTATTAGAGAATATGACAAAAGATGTTTTCTTTCTTTCTTTTTTTTAAAAGAATTTCATACTAATCATAGCTATCATCAAATGCGATGACAGTAATAGCACTTGTAAAATAATGAAAGGTCATAATGAGCTACTAACATGTGAATTGACACGAAGAGTGTTTGCGTGTGCGGAAGCTTATTATTGAACTAGCTATTATGAGGTAATTACGGACTTAATGACCTATTAAGATTAATATAGTTTATTAATTTATAAGTAATCAATTATAATAAATATTAAATAATAAGTAATTATTACCAGATGTTATAATATATGAATTTAATAACTATCATGTTTCTCGGTATATATATTATTTTACTGTCGCGATACTTGACGCACTAATATATTCAAAAGTACTAAAAAATGTTCAAAAAATATTGAGAAATAATCATCCATGTGTATTCAACAGCTATTAACGAGAAAGAACGCAATCGCGCGGTTTAACACGAAATAACTTGTTAATCCGATCCAATCTACTCGCAGTTCTCTATTTCGCGAGTAAATAAACGTATACGGGATACCCATTATGACAATCTGTCATTTGTAAGCGGTAGGATCGCGTAAGATCCATTTGCTCACCTCGTATCACTTTCGACGCAGATTTCTTCAGCACGGGGATGATCGCCGGTATGAAGAGGGTGTTGCGCAAGAGAGAGACAGAGAGAGAGAGAGTTCTCACACCGCGAGATACAGGCATATATTGTTGAATATTGTGGAAACAGCCACGGGAGTGGTGCTATATATAAGTACTACCGATAATGAATAAAGGTCGAGGTACGCGAGAACGGCGGTGGTCAGCGACTCCACTGCGAGACACCGTTGGCAAACTGAAGCCGCCACGGTAAACACAGTGCCTTATATCGTCTTGGGCCCGCGGCACGTCCGTGGTATCCTGTGAACGTGTCGTAGGTTACATACCTGTCCCACCTGCCCCTGCATGAGCCCGCGTTGCTCCTATCGCCCTCGTGGAAGACATTTCATACGTGCGCATCGGCGCGATTGAACGAACCGCTCCTCAGACAGTGATTCGCTATTCTTTCGATATCACCCGAGACATTGGTGATCAGAGATACGGGGTGCTCCGCAAGATTTCTTCCGTGTTTACGAATTTATTTAGCGGGTTCTGAAAGAGTGCGAACGGTTTTTATATTCAGCTTTACGGACCGGCGAGTTTTAGTTTTACGATATGTTGCACGAAGTTAGATCGTCTTTTTATATATATGCACGTACATGTGTGTATACGGACTGGCAGAATATATATAGCAGACTTTGTCTGGAGAAGATTAGAGAGACAGAGAAAGAAAAACGTATTTTTTTCTCCGTGAGTGCTCGGAAATATGTTTCGCGCATAACTGACTTAACTATATAGTGGAACATTGGTATGTGTATATTTTTATGAAATTATACGCGATACATTGTATAGTTATAAGAGAAATTGCGTGTGTGGGATTAAAATTATTTGTTTAAAGTACCTCTGTTTGTAACGCTGATCGCATTCAAGATAAAATCTTTTTAACTTTCATTATTACACAGAGTATATTTAGAATACTCTGACGATAATGCAAAATAGATTGTTTTAATTTTCGTTGAAGCAAAACAGGTATTGACAAAAACAGGTATTGAGAATTAAATAATCATGTGCAGTGTATATTTCTGGAGCACTTCAAGAGAGAAAAGTAGTAAAACATATATTTCTCTGCCTAAACTTCTGTGAACGCTACTTTTATCGTGGAAACTATAGCAGTTGTCACTCTACACTGAGAAAAAAGAATAGTCGATCCGACTAAAATTATAATTATCTTATTATATTTTTTATTAGATTTTTGGTTGTTCTAACATGAGAATGGTAGTAGTAACATGTATATAAGATTATGTATATGTATGTGTATAAGATTATTATCACTATAACATTATAATAGAATTTTATGGAAAAATGGTTTTCCTAATCATAATTTATAATAATTATTTTTCTATGTGATTATAGTTACAAATAAAAAAATATTTTTTTTCTCAGTGCATGGTCCATATTTGAATTCTCTTGTCGTTAGAAGTGTCTCTAAAAGTGGCTTATAATTGATCAGAAGGCTTGTAAGCGAAAAGTTTTTAGCGTTCATTAGAGCGCTGTTAGCATTACAAGTTCGGACTCATATCTATAATGTCTATGGTTGCGACATCCGCGTGTGTCCTTCGGTTATATATGTGACCCGTTCGGGATTCGAGCTTTGATTCAAGTTGACAACAGTGGCTTACGTCTGCTGAGCCTTACATCAGACCTCGGTACGCGAAATTTTTAACATGTCCTCGGTGGAAAGAATCTGAGAACGTTATGAAAGTTAAAAAGTCTTGAAAAAGTCTCGAGGACGAGATCCGGATGGCCGCGAAGGCGAGACCCGTGGAACTCGCGAACCTTCGATTGTAGGCGAGAATGTCGAAATTTATCGCGTACCTCGCGATCGGGAAGTTTTCCTGTGTCGATTCGATCACAAACACAGCAGCATTCAGCCAACTGCGGTAAATTGGTTGTAACTTTTAATGCGCGCAATTCGCGCAACAGTGAAAAATGCAGAAACGAGTGCTACCCTTCTGCGCTATTATTTCGAAACACACGCAGCCGCCTTTGCGTCGTCCCTGGTTTAAATCGAACGATATTTTAGAACGGATATAAAAATGTAATGCGTGATCATATAACAACTAAACCAACGCCTATTTCTATTTACGCTATAAACAAGAGAAAGATACAGCAATAATTTGAGTTTAATAGTATGTTCTAATGCCTGTACGCGCGATTCCTAGATCTTCGATAACAACTCGGTTCTCGATTTGTTGCGAGAAAATTCTGATCGAGATACATGAACGAGATCGAGGATATTTATATCGATATTACTTGGTTTGTTTGCGCATACCAATCGCGCATTATTCCCGTACAATCAACTATTTTGTCTTGGCAAGACATTCTTAAAAACATTTCCTGCCTGCCAATTTTGCAACTATCGTTAATTGGCACTGACAAATATTACTAGTTGAATAATCTATTGCCGCTTATCGAGATATCGTAGAGATTCTTTTTAAGGGCTGAATTTTTCGACTACATTATGGATCTCGCCAGTGGTTTGATAATAACGAGAATGCAAAAACAGATTTTTTTAATCTCCATTGAAGCCTGAAGAGAAACAGATGTTGAGGATTACATAATCAGCTGATTAACATATTGCACGGATGTATAATTTTTTAAAATTGCTATAATAACTTAGGCTTAACTTTTAATTTAATATTTAAGTATTGATATTTAATGTAGTATTTCAATATTTAATGTATATTTATGCATTGCTAATTAGGTGAAACTAGCAATGAAAAATCCTTCATCAACATTTAAAGTTAAGCCGACAAACACGACTAATAATTAACATTTCTCCTGAATAATATCTTGTATTTACATACTTATTAATATCCGCATCTTCAATGCCTTTTATTCTTTTGCTCTCTGTACTTTCTTTTGCTCTCTGTACTTTTTCGTTCGCTGCGCGGTTGAATGTTTAATAACGATGATTATTCTATTTCTGCGAAAGCAAGTCATGTGTCGTCATGCAACGTTTAAAGTTCATAATAAACGGGCTTAAATAATATTGATGAAAAAATTTTCCACTCAATGCTATAATTGTGAATATGTATGTACATCTATAATGACTTTATGGTTTGATTATATTATTTTATGAGCTTTAACAAGAAGCAACGCTCATCAGACATTTCGATGTAATTCATATATTTCCACGGTAATAATTTATATTGTTTATGTGTGCCTATCCAATGATGTAGGTGTGAACGCAGCTCAGCTCGCAACGCATATGCATTGTGATTTTTCTTTGCCATAAATTTTACACGTTACATAATATCAAGCATCGACAAAATAATATGATGTTTTCCTCTTTAGTCACGATACCGTCGTTAAGACGCATATTGTGTTATTTTATTGTAATATAAAGTGTGTGGCAACGCAATTGGGGACTAAAACAGCATTAATTTTCGGTGCGCCTTGCGCGCAAAGATGAATTATATATAAAAAAAAGTTATATTTTAAATTAAATTAAGGCTTTTAAATTATAGGCTAATTTAAATTAAGATTTCTATAATATCATATTCTTCATTTTCGATGCTTGACGCAGCGATTAACTTTTCACCTCGCGTGACGTATTTATTCAGACAAAAGTATTTTTAGCATAACGCTTTTTCATTGTTTAAAACAGGTTTATAAATATTAACGATGATTTGTCGACGATTATCATTTGTCCCCTTTATCTTAATATTGTAGCTTATCTTCGCAATATTGTCAGCTTATCTTCGCTTGCATTCGCGTTAAAAAATTATATATGATTATTTTACATAGATATTTTTTCTTAAATATAGTTATTACACATAGTTATTTAAAATAGATGTTTTTTGACGTAAGAAAGGTGAAAATGTGAACCAAAATATAAATTTTATCCGTTCTTTCCCTTTTCCATATATTTTTTTTCGCTTCTATCTGTAATTTGATTGTAGATGAAGGATTCTATTAATCGTCACAAACCACTCAAGACAATCTAAAATACCGATCGTTGACTAAGTAGCGGCCTTCACATTTTTCAGTAACAAAATTAACCAAAAATTCATAAGGAATTCCGTATATAAAGAGATTGAGAAAGTACCCGTCGGCCTTCGAATCCTTAGTTGTATCCTGTGGACCAAAGGTCGTGTTTTCGTAGTGATTGGAGTGGCGTTACCGCGTGCACATGTCCGCGACGCGTAACGATCGTAAACGCCCGTATACGATGTCGATAGAAATTGGCATTCAAGATGCGTTCTAGTCACCCGCGTCCGCGGGATCGAGACGCAAGCGAGACACAAGTGCCATTATCTATTTATATAATTTACTATTATTCGCGATGCGCACAACGAACTTTGGCACTGGGTGGTCCTTATTTGTAAGAAGGCGTACAAGCCTGCGGTTTGCGTGTCGTGAAATACAAATGAGCACGGTGTTTGGTAGTTGAGCTCCTGTTGAGTATTCAAATCGTGCTTGGCGGAAATTCAAGAATGGCGTAAGATCGTACGAGGTGGTAGTTTTATCTGCGACGATAAGGAAAAGAGGATATATGACTCGGGAGAAGTGACAGTTTGTACAATCATTTTGGCGGACTGAAAAATTGAGATTGTAATAAGGAAAGTTTGCATGAAAGTTTACATCCCCAGGCTAATCATACGAGATTCGCGGAAAGTCGGTCACGAAACAAAAATTTGTGCACATGGCATTTTAAAATGTTGAAATATCTTATCGTGTAAGTATATGTTGAAATATATTTACATATATTTTATTCATTGCATTACGCTGAAGCTATGATAACGACTTACAAATACGAGTATCGAGATTTACACGTAGATAAGTATCTTCGCACCTATTATCCTTAATTAGCAGTGATTATAGAGATAGTCACTGCTAATTATTACCGGCTTGGAAAAAATGCTTCGAGTTTGTAGCTGCAAAATTTTAATATTAAAGAGAATTCCAGGTAAATTTATATAACTGGAAAAAAACATTATGTTTTAAAATATTTTCGCAGATATGTAAGAAACTGGGTAAATGCATTAATTAATACTAGTTTTAAAACACAATTTATGAGTATTACATTATTTACATAGTTTTAAATTAGCAAGTGGAATTGATTAAGATACCGATTTGCGAGTACCGTAAATTTGCTAGACAAGCAATCTTTATACGAGACATCATGTCTACTTATGAAAACCAGTTCGGTTTTAACAGACATCTATTATTCATATTCGTTGTACTTATTCTGACACGAACATTCACG